CCAAAGAGTGTAAGCCTCAGTCTTCTATGCCTTGAAAGCCTTGTTGGTGCAAACATACGGGTTTTACACGTGTATGCCACACACAACCTGCACACACAGAACACTGGCCTGATCTGATGAAATCCAACACATCTTTCGTTGACTGAGATGTCCTTTTTCATGTAAGCATTGTCATTGACTTCAGAGGGACGATTTCCACGAGTAAACTTAGTCATGTGTGTGATGACAGTACCAGGGAGTGGGCATGAGCACATGATCCTGCTTTCTGTACAGAACGGACACACATTGCCCCTTTTGTTATGATTTCCCATGGTGGAAACCTCATTCTGCACCAGGCTGGAGCGTGATAGACCGACAGGTGGTCCTTGTTAGGGAGGTCACTGACACTGCCAAGCAGCTTTTGAAAGGCAACATTACACCTAGAAGGTTATCAGGCTAGAGACACGAAGTCTAAAACAATTTCTCTGACAATGTTGTAAACAGGTAGTATATCTGGCGCATTTTCAGACTTAACAAAGCACAGGAGATTAAATTTCATCTTCACCTCTGTCCCCCCCTTGCCATCAGAGCACACACCTCCCCTACGCTTTGTCTAGAAGCACCTACGCTTTGTCTAGAAGCACCTTGCAGATGTAGTGAAGTTCTGAAAGAGCTACTTTAATTATAAGTGCTACAGTAATGAATTCAAGTACACTCATTTATCATAGAGGGCTTCCCCATCTGTCTCTAAAGTATGCTCAAAAATGTTGTGTATTTGATAACAAGAGGGTTGAGAATTTATCACATTTTAGTTTTAAACACTCCATTTTGGTTAGCTTTTTGTTAAGACCGTACAACTACATTTTGACTGAAAGAACAGATTGGTGTGTGTGTGAGCGTGCGTGTGTGTGCGCGCACGCATGTGTGTGGTCTCTTCCTAATTTATTTGCACTTCAACCCATTGGGATCAAGCTGCAATCCCTGTAGGCAAAGGAAGATTAGGGAAAGCGACTGCCTGTTTTTTCCCAGACACAGAAGGGAAAGCGACTTCTCAAGTACCGCAAGTTTTTCTGGCCAGTGTACAAATTGTTCCTGAGTATGGAGAGTTTCCAAAAGACCTAATTAGCAACTCGCTGCAAACATTTCTTTGCATTAGCTAATGATCCGGCTACACTTGTAAGCAAACAGTACCAACATATCTAATCAATGCAGAAAAACCAACAGAATGCCTATTAAACATCTGGATGTAATTTTCTAGTTACACTTAGAACAAAATGAAAACATATGCAGGTTTCTTTGATCTATGCCTCAACAAAGAAATTGTCGATAAAAAAAAATAAAAAATAAAAAAACCCACACACAAAAAAAACACACTGCCCAGTCAATGTGTCATTTTCATAAAGCCTGGTCATTTCTCTTCAAATGTTCCCAGTTTAATTTTGTTGGTTTCCTGCAATCTCTAATTTTACCATATTGTGTGAAACCACAAGGGATTCTTTGGATTTGATTTTATTTGAGGTTTTACTGCTGCACGATCTGCTACTGACTTTTTTTTTTTTTTTTTTTTTTTTTTTTTAAGTTCAGCTTGGGGAATTTTTAAGGGTGAGAGAATGGAGGAAGGGAATACAGACTTGGTGGTAAAATGACCTTCTGATTTATTTATTTATTTATTTTAATTTTATTTTTATTTTTAACATTCTTGCCTACAAGGAAAGCTACTAATTAAAAAGAAATCAAATTACAAAGAGGGTACGCAATGGCTATTAGCCAAAAGATAGCGAATAATTAGAAATGTAATTGCTTTACCCTGCTCATATAATTTGCACTTCATAAATAAAGAAATATTTTAAAAGTTAAATTGTTTTGCATACTCTCATAATAATTATTTTTCTTGCAGATGAATTCATAGAAGTTCACTTCTATTCCACATGCACTGTGTGAATCAGATACTATTTTTTTCTCTATTCCACCTGTCCTGCCATTAAAAAAGACAAAAACATAACAACACCCTCCCCCCACGCAGATATACATAATTTTGTAAAGTACTCTGTTTCTCTTTTGGTTGAAAATCCAATGATCTCTCAGTCTCAAATTTACAAGTGCAAAATCTATTGAATTTTATAATTGCTTCCTACGCTGATGTGCTCTAACTACATAGGTAGTTGAGTGGTGAGATAAATCACAAATTCACTAAATTGTGTCCCAGCCCCCTGCTGCAAACTCTTGGTGATCAACATCATCAACATTTTTATTATATGTGCTGGCTTGTGGGAAGTTAAAAAATATTGCTTGTAAATAGTACTGCTAACAGTGAAGGAAAAAATACAAAACTATGGTAATTTGAACATCATACAATACATCATTTCCCTAAAGAGCAGATGCTACATCTGAAGCTCTTTCAGTACAGTCAAACTAAATTTTGGGCCCTGATACCACTTTTTTGTTGTTGTTGACTTAAAGCTCAAACTGCTTTCAGCGTGAATTTTGAGTACGTAGTCAATGAAGGATTAAGCCTTCTGCTATATGAGGTAAGAACACTACATTAAAATCCTTACAGTGAAAAATAATTGCTTTGAAAAGCAGATCAGAACTGATGATATAACAGAAGGGCTGGGGGTGGGGGTTAAAGACCATCTTCTTAGTGTACTTTTTAGAACAGAACTGTGGTATAAGCACAGCTATTTGCAATTCAAAATTAAAATTGTGTAGGGTAATTACAGTACTGTGGTGTAACAATCTCGTATAAAACACTACCTTGAGTCAAACACAGCTCTTTACAACATGCTTAGCCAAATTTTGGCCTACCTCTCAGTGGTGTAATTTTGCATTGCTGTGAAGTGAGGATGTTAAATTTTTTTTGCGGGATTAATCCAGATTTATAGCCAAATTAATCCTGATTTTTTCTAACAGGCAAATGTTGTGCTCCAATTGGCCAGAGATGATGAATTATAAATTAGCTAAATATCAGACAAAAAAAGATTCTATTGCTGCTTTTGCTGCTTTTACAGCTCTTCTATCTTGATTATGATGAAGAAGATTCAAAATGCCATTAAGTGTCTGATTTCAGAATCTAAGTGGGTTAAAGGCACTTGTTAAAAGAAATCAGAAAAGTAGAACTTTTCTACTTCTGTTAAAACATGCCTTGAACATTTTAATGATGACAAATAAAGATTACAAGACATTTCGACTTTCATGTAGGTGAGCAATTATATATATATATATATATATATATATATAAACTTTTGTTTAGGTTCCAAAACATAGTGTGGTTTTAATGTCATATCTGTTAATATCTCATTAACAACCTGTGCCAGCAGGTTAAGCACAGCACAACCAAAGTTAGGTAAGCGTTACGTTATTACAGACTCCATAGCTACCAGGTACACACACAAAGTATATAATAATACACTTGTGTTTTATGGCATCTTTCATCTGAGGATCTAAGTACTTTATAAGCATTAATTAATTAAGCTTTCTAATACCATGAAGAGAGCTGTGAGTTGGCTTGTCCAAGGGAAGAGCTGGGAACAGAACTCAAGATGTTTAGCTCTACTCATGCATGTGCAATGCCAGGTTAAGTCTGCATTCCCATCCTGGGAAACACAATGCAATAACACCGAGATTCGACTCTCATCTTTAAAAAAAAAAAAAAAAAGAGAGAGAAAGAAAAGTCCTTGTTTGCTTGCATTTATTTTTATATTCACAACTGTATCAACGCACATATATTGGTCCTGAGGGGGTCCCCAGGGGTGTCTCGGGGAGGCATGCCGGGAGACCTCCGCACTCTGGCAGGGCACCTGCACCCTGGGGATATGCAGTGTGGCCGTGGTAGCAGAGAGAGACAGGATGGGTGAGGAGAGGGAGAGGGGGAGCGGAGAAGGTAAAAAGATCAAAAAAAAATGGAAAAGAGATGGAAAAAAAAAAAGGAAAAAGATAGAAAAGAAGAGAAAAAGGGGAGGGGGGAAGAAACTAAGAAAAGGAAAAGAAAGGGAAAGAAAAGGAAAGAAAGAAAAAGGAAAAGAAAAAGGGAAAAGGAAAAATATAAAGAAAAAAGAAAAGAGAAAAAAGAAAAAAGAAAAGAGAAAAAAGAAAAAAAGAGAAAAAAGAAAAGAGAAAAAGAAAAATAGAAGGAAAAAAGGTAAAATGACAAAAGAAAAAATGAAAACAACAAAAAAAAAGCGAAATGACAAAAAAGGGCAAAAATGTAAATGACAAAAAAGCAAAACGACGAAAAAAAGGGAAAAAAATAAAGAGCAAAAAAAAAGCAAAACGACAGGGAAAAAAAAAAAAGAAAAAAAAATTTACCTGGAGAGGAAAATGACGAAAAGAAGGAAAAAAAAATAATTAAAAAGCAAAACGGCAGGGGAAAAAAAAAAGACAAAAAAAAAAAAGAAAAACGAGAAAAAAAAAAAAAGAGAGAAAAAAAAAAGAGAGAAAAAAAAAAAAAAAAAGAAAAACATGCAGGAAAAGAAAAAAAAAAAAGAATAATAAAAAACCAGCCCCCACACCCCCAAGCTCGACCACCACCCGCGTGGGAACGCGGCCGTGCCGCCGGGCTCTGCTCGCCCCGCCCCGCCCCGCCCCGCGGAGCCGGCAGCCCCGGCCGCGGGCACGCGCAGGCGCCGCGCAGGGTGCGCGCAGGCAGCCCCGCCGCCCCGCCCCGCCCCGCCCCGCCCCTCCTCTCCCTTCTCCCCGCCCCTTCCCGCCCGCCCGCCCGGCGGCCCCACGTTACTTTGACTGACAGCTCGGCCTCCCCGCTCTCCTTCCCACCGACCTTCCCCTCCTCCCCGCCGCTCGGCGCGCCCCGCGCCCTCCCATTGGCCGGCGCCGAGCGCTCCCGCCGCCCCGCCACAAACGCTTCCCAGCGAAAGGCAGAGCGCCGCTCCGCCGGCCGCTCTCCCCATTGGCCCGCGGCCCCGCCACGCGTCACGGCCCCACGTTGGCGGCGGCGCCGGCGATTGGGCGGGCGGCGGCGGCGGCGCGCCCCCCCCCCCCCTCCAGCCCCGCGCGGCGGCGTGGGCGGGGCCGTGCGGCTGGTTAGCTGGCCGAGTGTGAAACCGCGTGTTAATGCAAGCGGCGCGCGCGGCTCGGCTCGGCTCGGCTCGGCGCGTCCCGCACGGACACGGCCGCGCGCCCGGCCCCGCACCCGCACCCGCACCGCTCAGCGCCGCCCGCCCCAGCCCAGCCCGACCCGGCCCGGCCCGGCCCGCCGGACGTCCCGAAGTCCATCGCGGAGCGGAGCGGAGCCGTGCGGTGGGGCGGGGGGAGGAGGAAGAGGAGCAGCAGGAGGAGGAGGAGGAAGAGGAGGATGCAGCCGCCGCCGCCGCGATGCGCCGCCCTCGGGGGGCTCTGCTGAGATGTGCGCCCCGGTGCGCGCCCGCCCGCAGCAGGCTGCAGCCGAGCCGTGGCGAGGAGGAGCGCCCCGTCTGAGATAGCCCCGACAAGGACGCTTCCAGCCTTTTGCTTTTCTTTTTCTTTTTTTTTTTAATTATTTTTCAATTATTTTTTTTTCCCCCGTCCGACGGGGCGGGCGGCTTTTGTGTCCCTTTTGTCCCGGGCTCCCCCTCCGCAGCTCCTCCGGGCTCTGCGCGCCGTGCATGTGCTGCCGGCGCTGCTCCGGCCGGGGCCGGCTGCGCGCAACCCCCCCTCGCCCCCTTCCTCCTCCTCCTCCTCCTCCTCCTCCTCGTTGTCCCGCCGCCCTCCCGTGCTCGGCGCCCCGCGGGCTGCCCATGCCCCGTCCCCCCCGCCGGCGCCCGGGAGCAGCTCGGCCCTCCCCGGAGACTTTCCCTGTGCCCCCCGGCCTGTGACGGTCCCGTGCTCGCCGCTCCCCGCCGCCTGGATTCCCCCAGCAGCCGAGGAGCCGCCCGGCCGTCGGGGCCGTCTGGTCCCGTCCCGTCCCCGGAGCGACAGCGACACAACCCCGGGGATGTCCCCGCGGCGGGGGCACTGAGCGCCGCCGCCGCCGCCCCCCCGCTGCCCCTCGGGGCTTGAGCCGCGCTGCGAGGGAGCCCCCGCGGCGGCCGGAGCCATGTTCCCGCAGAGCCGGCACCCCGTAAGTGCGGGACGGGGCGGGGGGGGTGCGGGACGGGGCCACGTCCCCGCTTTGTTCGGCGGCGGGGCTGTGCTGGGCTGAGCCGAGCCCCACGGCGGGCGGGACGGGGACAGGGACCGGGACCGGGACGGGGCGGCCCCGCGGGAGCCTCGTCCCCGGCGATGAGGGACGGGAAGGTGGGGAACAAGTGCCTGGGGGTGGGCCGGGCTCCCCGCATCCCTCCCCGCATCCCTCCTCCCCGCATCCTCCCTCCGGCCCCCGGCTCTCAACGTGCCTCTCTCTCCCGGTCCGGCCGCCGCCGCGCCAGACCCCGCACCAGGCTGCGGGCCAGCCTTTCAAATTCACCATCCCGGAGTCGCTCGACCGCATCAAGGAGGAGTTCCAGTTCCTCCAGGCGCAGTACCACAGGTGAGCGGGATGAGGGTGGGGGGGGGGGGGGGTCAGGGGCCGGGGCCGGGCTGGGCTGGGCTGGGGTCGTTCCACCCCCCCCCCACCCCCCCGGGGCTCGGGGGGCTGCAGCGAGCGGCGGCGTCCAGGCGGTGGCGTGCGGAGTCGCGGCGGAGCCCCGGCTGGGGGCCGCGGGGTTTTGCGGGCCCCGCTGCCCTCGGAGCATCCCCCGGGGGCGAGCGGCGGGGCAGGGGGCGGCCGAGACCCGTGCCGGGTGCCCCGCACCCGCCGCCTCCTGCTAGTGTGGGTGCGAGGTGGCTGTGCCGTACGCCGTGGGTTTTGGGGGTTTCGGAGGGAGACCAGCGCGGATCCTGCGGCACAGAGCGATAAGGAGGTGACATCTGGGGCTTGCTCCTTCGTGTGAAGGCATGGTGAGGATTGTAGGAAGGAGCACACGAGTACCGGAGTTAACACAAAGTTAATGTGAGCCTGCCGAAGCCGTGGCTGCGTTTCCAGTTGCAGTGCTGCTCTCCTGACGTTCCCGTTGAAAGGGTTTGCTCTTGCTGCGGGAGAGCCCGCAGGGATTTAGGGAACGGGTTCTTGCGTGCAAAAGGTGTTTGTCCATAATCTTCTTGTATTTTGTACTCATGTGCACCTGGATAGGAAAAAGACTTCTGTGACCTTCCATGATAGAAATCGCTTGGTTTTGATTAGGCTTCCCTTTTCCCCCTGATGATGCTGTAGTCTGAGTCTTATCTAAGATTGTTACATTGTCTAAGCCATTTATTACGTTAGAAACACAGTGTAAGCTATAAACATTGCAACTGTAAATGGAAAATGGTGGCTTACACACTAATTGCTCCATAGGATGCTTCTTTGTTTCATTTAAAAAAAAAAAGAGAGAGAACAAAAGAGAAAAATCAGTTTGCCAGAGAACAAAGGGAATGTTTTGACTTTTGCCCTCAGTGAAAGTAGTCAAAATTATACTGCTGTTAGTGATAAGATAGGCAACTTGTTTTTCTCCTCTGAAAACAAAAATAGAAAACAAACTTGGTAGTAATTGATAGTCAAAGCTACTTACATCAAGCTGCGGGTGAGATAACAGAAGCTAGAGGTTCTTTAAGGTTAGGAATTGCAGACGTGCCCAAGTTGTAATTCCAACCGTGAATGGTGTTACTTGGCTGCGCCTTACTGAACGTCATATGCAAAGAAGTACTTTGGCTACTCAGAAGAACTTTGGAGAAAGTCTGTTCCTGTCATAACCTGAGAGTTGTAGTGCTTCGTCTGTGTAGCAGTTCTGGAGGCGGTTTCGGGGCTCTCATGCAGTACTCATGAAATACCTCCTAAATTTCCCGTTCAGCCCTTGTATTTAAAGTACGAATTAAGACTTTTCTCTCTGTGTTTGCATGTTTATGAGTTTCTTTAATTATCTGTTTCTGTCAAAATACAAATAAAGTGGTGAATGTCAAAACAATGACATAACAGTTACATTAAAGTGTGATCTATTTTGTAGCCTTAAATTGGAATGTGAGAAACTGGCAAGCGAAAAGACAGAAATGCAGAGGCACTATGTGATGGTATGTATGTTTGTTTTTCTTTGTTTCAGTAAATATCTTCTAATGCAATGTAAGCCCGCATAACCAAATAATGTATGCTCCTTTATTTGCAGTATTATGAAATGTCATATGGATTAAACATTGAAATGCACAAACAGGTAAGGCATTTTGTTTTCTAACCCACATAATCTACAGTCTGTCTAGTGTGTTTAAATGTAGCTGTGCTGTTTGTATTCAGATGACCTCAGCATGTGTCTGAATAGGCTGATTTGTAGCAGTGATTAGCAGACCTTTGCCTACCTGCTGTCAGGTGAGGTATAGGTTAGGTTAATCCACAGGACTTCCTTGGTATTGGTCCTGAAAGATGGTGTGAGACGTAGGAAAGGTCTTGTCTCTGTGGTTTTTAAAAACGTAATTCAGTGCCTTGTGTGGTTCTGTTTTGTCACTGGTAAGAGCCTTTGATTATGTAGAACTGGTCCTACGCGTGTGTAGCATATGTAGCGATAGTTGCTCAAATCCTTGCCATTTAGAGGTATGAAAAGATTAGTGGCTTGGAAAGCTCAAGTTATGACTATAAGTTTGCAAGTTCCCATAAAATTCACACTTACGGCCACTATAATGGTGAATAAAAAGAGTATTGAAGTGGAACAAGACACTAAGGACCTCATAAGAGAAGAAAAGCTAAATGATTGCTCAGCCCGGAGGACCCTCAATTGAGTAGTCATTGTCTGCCAAATAAAGCATTAATGGCAGGGTGTAAGTATTCTGTAGATACGCTGACATTCACTTTTTCATCAAGATGCCGGTACAATAAGTCTTTCAGAAATCGATGGCCTCTTAAAAAAATTATCATTAGATGAAGTTGCACAGTTGGACACATTTCAAAGTGCAACAATACAATTCTTTCTTGAAGTGTATGTGCTATTTCATCTAAAACTCTTGTTTCATTAAATTAAAGAGCATGGCTGACCGGTTAGGGCACAGCGAAGAAATTGATTAGTTCAGGCTTCGGATCTTCAGTATATTCAAAGACTTTCATTAAGTGAGTGAATTGCAGAGTTGAATTTTGCTTTTGTAACTCAAACTCTTTGATTTTTGTTTTGTTTTCCAGTAAAAATATTGCATTTCTTAAGGGTGGGATGGTAGTTCCACAATAACTTTCTGTTTGCAAAGCTGAGTAGGTATTCCATGTTGCTTTTTTTAGAGGTGTGCTTGTTTGAATCCAAAATGCTGGTAAAAGCAGGAATAAAAACAAGGAATAAAAACAAGGAAACCTCCTTGTTTTTAAAGTGATGCACTGTTGAGGCAAGTGGAACAACTGGAGTGGTGGCTGACTTGTTCCTATACCGTAGCTGCTGTAGTATTCTCTTCTGTGTGTGTGTTAGAAGAATATCATTCTTTCTGTAAGGCAGTTCTTTCATGCTCTGTGATTTTTGGAATCCTCTCTATTAATTTATTCTTAACTTCATGGCAGGCTAACTTGTGAGGAAGCCAACATCCATAAAGAAGCTTCATTTGGTTCAAAATGTGTGTTATTTTCGTAAGATTTTGACAGTAAATGTACTAGGAATTAACTTCAGGTAAAATCAATTAAGCCCACAAGATTAAAGAGTGTCAGAACTGAGGTTTCCACTTTGACCTTAACATCTGTGTATTGCAAGGGTTTAATGCTCTCTGTATGTATGGCAACTATAATTACATACCGAGTATTCAGTGATACTTTGGAAGCTTTTAAGATTTATGGCAGAGCATTATACCTGCATTGGTTCTAGCTGGGGAAAATAGAGCACATTTACTCTGTGTGCTCTTAGCAGAAGAAAAAGCATTTGAAGGGATAAATAATTTTCCCTGGTTATGAGTCTTAGATACCATGCTTTTACATGTTAAGTATTCTGATTAAAAGTAGCACCTTCATATTAAAGACTCTTGATTTAGATGCCTGCAGTGAGGATGCCTAACACTGTTAGAATTCAGTACGTAGGTGGTCTCAGCTTACAGGAGACAAAAAAAAAAAAAGCCACCAATGACATTCTTTTGAATTTCCACTGCTAACGATAAGTTCTGAGGAGGCTTTTGGCAGATAGTAATCATAATTCTTATTAAAACTGGTGACGTCTAGCCCCAAGGGTGTAGCCAGGCTCAAATTGATGCTTTTTGCTGGCTGATCACCAGCATGGCCTAAGTGCTCATTATGTTGTAGAGAGGGCCTTTGGAGCTCTCATTACGTTTGACAGGAATTCTCTCTAGGGGGAAACTGGGCATTAGCTAGACTCCTGACAGGCTGAAATTATTCCTGCTTTATGGCTTATAACCAAATGCTAGCAAGGCATCATCAGGGGACACGAAAAATTGTCATTTCTGACAACATCTTTGTTACTGAAAAATGCAGTGATGGGGAAACTTTCCACTGAACAAGCTTTAATGTTCTTAAGGCCTGCCTCCTATGTGGATGCTGTACTCGCTCTGTGTGAAGCTCTTCAGTGTGCTTGGGCTGCTGATTTAAAAATAAAAAATTACACTGAGCTGGTGTTCCTTTATGCAGTGCGCTGCTTACATCATTGTTGAAGGTAGGGTCACTTCAATAAAATGATGTAGTTGTAGTTTGCCTGCTGATGAAAGGGTTGACTTCTTGTACAGATAAAGTTGCATCAGCAGTTTATTAAATGAAGAGTTATTTAACTCTCAATTCAATTCTGTAATCTGTTATAATCTCGCTAAAATAAAAATAGTTAGGACTTGAGTGGTGCTATAAACACAGTTCCTTGAGGTGAACTTTCCGTACACGAGCAGCTGTACTGCAGAGTTTTTCACTTGAGTATGTGACAGTATGTTTAAATACAGGTACTACTGTTGCATTTCAGCCAGTTGTCTAAACACTGGTCAAGAAATAATCTTCTGGGTGCATTTTTGGCTGGCTTGTATGGTGTTTTTTTTTTTTTGTTTGTTTGTTTTTTTGCTTTTGTTCTTGTTTCTGTTTTAATAAGACTTTCAAATCAGTTCTTAAGAGGATGTTGTGTCTGGATTTTTATACTGTTTTCAGAGGTAATTATCTTAAGGTGGTATATGGTTACTAATGTTAGCATTTCTGAAACAGAAACAAGTATCGGAGGATTTGTTTAGGATAGGTGCATTTCATGCAGATACCGTTTTCATGTTTGTCAAGAAGACAGAGTGAATAAGGATGTTTTGTATGGTCTTAAGTTTCTCATCTGGTATTTCATCCAAGTCAGATTTTCCCACTGTGACATCCGTGGCTGGCAAAGCAGATGCATCAACTACTAGTGCCAAGATGTAGAGTCTGTTGGGCGTTAAAAATCCCACTGTACTTAAAGGGTTGCTGCCCTTGGCTATTAGGGCAGCACCTCTTTATTTTCACCAGCTCTGTCTGTCATCCTCTGTCATAAGTCAGGAGATAAGACTTCCTGTGCGTTTAATGCCTAGATTGTTCAGGTGCAAGATTAGCTTTTGTTCAGTGGCAGGCAGCCAAAGAAAGAAAAATTCATCACTGCTGAACCAACTGACAGACTATATAAACTACTACGGTATTTGGGTGTCTGCTATCCCAATGGTGACAGCTGGGTTTCCTTCTCTTTGGGTGGGTTATTGTGATCTTTGTGACCTGCCTTGAGGCAGACCTGTCATTTAGTACCTTGCCTCTCATGGAAAAGTATACAAACTCCTAAACTGTGTTATGTTAACCAGTTGTACAGGAATTAAATGTCTGTTTTATCCTGGACTGTTTTATGAAATCATTTCTAATGCTATGTGTTCAAGGACCGAGTCTTCTACTGATATCTCATTAGAATATTAGTCTTCAGGAGTGGGTTAAATAGAAGGGAATTAAGAAGCTTAGTTAGCTCTCTACAGCTCCTGAGTAGGACGGCTGTGCTGTTGAAAGGGATTTGAAGATAAATTAATTTTTTTTTCTTTTTTCCTACTTGCATTTTAATTACTGAAATGAAAAAAATTCATGAATCCTAAAGGTTTTGATGGTGTGCAGTAAGTGTTTCAAGGGGATTTTGTAGTTGGCTCTGTCACGTATACGTGCAGAACCTGCTTTTGTTTTAAAAGAGAACATGGTAAATTTAATTGGGGCATATTTTTCCCTCAAAAATTGTACATACTCTACAACTATTGGACTTCAAAATGAGCGCAGTTGTATCACCAGCGTAGCCATTTCAGATGCGACTGGAGGTGCCAGTTTGAACAGAGAGGAAAGCCTGGAGTAATGAGCTCGACTTTCTCAACTTTTGAACCGCATTCAAGCTCAAGACTGACATTGTTAAGAAGTTTTCTGACAGATTCAGGGCACTCAGTGAAATATGTCTCCATGTGGCTTTTAGATAACCATATTGTCAGATACCATCTATTATGTCAACTTCATATACAACTTAATCAAAAAGTATGTCATAGTATTAACACTGTACATATGTTAAATACTGCCAGATCATCTCTCGTTTTAGACTTGGTCTGCCAGATTTCAGGTTCATCACAGAGCCACCGAGGGAAAGAAGGAGCTCTTTCCTACCAGCTGTGCTGTCAAACTTCCCTTGCATTGCCAGGACTTAAGTTACTAAATTTATGTTGGTGTGCTTTATTTGTGCATTGTTTCAAACAGGGAAAACAAAACAAACCAACCAAACAAAAACAAACAGCTGGTATTTTCTGGGGCAGGGAGAAGAAAAGGAAGGAAGATTCTTTGTGAAGCAGTAACTCTTCTCTGACAACAGATTCTGGGGAGAAAGCTAAACACTTTTACTCTTTTGCTGGTTGTAATACCAACTAAGCTGACAAGTATTTGAATTGCCTTTCACCCCTGCTCTACTCCAGCACTCCAGTTCTGTAACAAAGGGTAAAATTGCATTGCATCTCCTATGCAAAATGGAAGATAGTATCTGCTGGGTTTGATAGTGGGTCACCATTAGTACACAGTGAATGAATCTAAAACCAACTGTAGGTTAACTTACGTTTATCAGAAGACACTATTTTAAAAGCGATAGCAGACTTGAGTAGAGTTAATGACGTCACCTTTCCACTGAATGTAAGATTTGGGAGTACCTAATGGCAGTTTTGTCAAACACTATTTTCATCTTTTACATCGTGCTTCTTAGTTGGACCCTGGATGTATCTATTTGAACAATTGCAGTTACTGATATAC